GTGTACCACTCACGGAGCTGCTGAGGGGACAGGGTCGCACGACCACGCTGCTGCTGCTGGCGCGAGCCACCACCGGAGCCACTCCTCTGCAAAGACCCGCGACCAGCTCCACCGCCACCCCCACCGCCTCCACCGCCTCCGCTGCCTCCACTGCCGCCGCCGCCTCCACCGCCTCCTCCACCGCCGCCTCCTCCGCCACCTCCGCTACCACCGCCACCGCCGCCGCGGCCTCCGCCTCCACTGCCGCCACCGAACCCCCCACCCCCACCTCCACCTCCACCGCTACCCCCACTCCCCCCACTGCCTCCACCTCCACCTCCACCGCCCGCTCCTCCAGCTCCCTTGCCCCCCTTGCCCTTGCCAGGGCGGCGTCTCCCGCTAGGGGCAGACGCCGCACCGACCGACTCAAGACCAAGGAGGTCGGCCGAAGCAGCAGAGGCAACAGAGGGCAGCAGGGGGGAGGGAGAACACCCCTCAAAGATGGGGGTGCGCGGGTCACCTCGAGAGGCTCCTACAGCGACTATGCTCTTTTCTATCGCGAGGAGGGCCTTCTCGAGGAGGTCTACAGTGAGTGTGGTGGGACAGACTGAGAGAAAGTGGTCCCTGACTACTCGAAGGGAGTCAGGGAGGCGAGTGACTAGGAAGTACAGAGTGATGTACATGGGGGGGGGGTTCGCGGTGCAGAAGTCAGCAGGAAGTGCAGCGCGGTAGCGAGTGTCACTAGTGCGGAGGTGCGTAATGAGGTCAGCAACGGTGGGAAAAGAAGCAAGGTCAGGGAAGAGGTACGGCAGCATGAGACGGCTCAGTGCAGCAGTGGAAGGGGAGGAGTAGCGCGCGACTACAGCGGCGTACAAGGTCTGAGCACTCTTGTACTGACTAAAGTGCGCACGCTCGGAGGTAGGGAGGTGGCGACGCACAGCAAGACGTGCAGCAGCATCGCGCGTGGCCCACTGGGAGCGAACAGTGGCGTCAGCATCAGCAGCAGGGGCAGGGGAAGCGCCAGAGGTGAGGTCAAAGAGAGAGAGGCCGTTCGCCCTATCGCACCGTAAGAACAGCTGTAGGTTATCTACCCAGACCTCAAAGTCAATGGCCCGACCCTCAGCGTCAAAAGTGAGGACACTAGGGGTAGCCATGACAGCAGTAGACCAGCAGTGCAAGGAGTAGGGGAAGAGCACGCAGTGACAGAGGGTCTGTGCTCACCGGACAGGGCTGCTCGGGCGGCTCGGCTGCAGGGCGGCTCGGCCGCTGGGCGGCTCGGCGGCTGGGCGGCCCGGCGGCTGGGCGGCTCGGCAGCTGGGCGGCTCGGCGGCTGGGCGGTCGGCTGCACGGCGGCTCGGCTGGTGGGCGGCCGGGCGGCTCGGCTGCAGCGCGGCTCGGCGGCGGGGCGGCTCGGCTGCTCTGCTGCTGGGCGGCTCGGCTGCGCTGCTGTTGGGCGGCTCGGCTGGGCCGCTGACGTAGGGCGGCGGGGCCGCTGTAGAGGAGTGGCGGGGCCGCTGCAGAAAGACGGCGGGGCCGCTGGGTAGTGAGGCGGCGGGGCCGCTGCAGAGAAGCGGCGGGGCCGCAGTGAAGGGCGGCGGGGCCGCAACGAGAGAGGCGGCGGGGCCGCAGCGAGAGAAGCGGCGGGGCCGCGAAGTCGGGCGGCGGGGCCGCTGAGTAGGGCGGCGGGGCCGCAGTGAGAGGCGGCGGGGCCGCAGCGAGAGAGGCGGCGGGGCCGCGAAGACGGGCGGCGGGGCCGCTGAGACGGGTGGCGGGGCCGCAGTGAGTGGCGGCGGGGCCGCAGCGAGAGATGGCGGCGGGGCCGCGAAGACGGGCGGCGGGGCCGCAACGAGAGAGGCGGCGGGGCCGCAGTAAAGGGCGGCGACGGGCCGTGGGCGGCGCGAAGTCGCAGGTAAGGGCGGCGACGGGCCGGGGCGGCTCGAAGCCGTAGGTAGAGGCGGCGCGAAGCCGCGGGAAGGGCGGCGACGGGCCTGGGCGGCGCGAAGCCGCAGGTAGGGGCGGCGCGAAGCCGCCGGTGAGGGCGGCGCAAAGCCGCGGGTAAGGGCGGCGACGGGCCGGGAAAAGGGCGGCGCGCCGCAGCCGCTAGGGCGGCTCGACGCGACCGTAAGGGCGGCGCGACGGGCCGCTAGGTGCGACTCGACGGGCCGCTAAAAAAAAGGCAGGCGCGACTCGAGGCGCGCTTCGGTGGGCCCAAGGAACAGTCCCTAGGAGGGGACCTGCTCTGATTCCATGTGAGAATGAGAACGAGAATGAATGAACTATGAAATGAAGTGAGTACAAATATGAAACCCTAATTGGTTGTACCCCCTATGGGATACCCCACTATAGCCTACACAACAGCATAAGCTATAATGTTCTGACAGGCACAAGCGAAGCAAAGCATATCGAGGCACCAGCGAGTCAACCCTCGGAGGTTGAAGTAACTGCTGGAGGTTACGCGAAAGTGAAAGGTCAGCGACCTTTGACCTGACAAGTACAGCGCGACAGCAAGGACACACAACTGACTCGCTACAGAGCAGTTGCCCGAGTCGTCACTGTATCGAACCGCAACAGCAACAGTAAAAGTAGTTACAACCGTATCTCTTCGTATTCCTTGTACTCTTATATATATAATCTTGTATCTCTTTGTTTTAATCAACTTACTTTGCCCTCACATACTAGCGCAAGGTGGTTCACAATCTTTCATTAAAACGCTTCCGCTATTACAGTCCTACCCAGAGTTCATCCCTGTAAAGATCCTAAGGGCTTTTCTCAGCCCATCAACTTGGGCTGGGCCTTGGGCCTTTGATGCCTGTTTCTTCACCAGGCCCTACGATATCAGGAATTTTCCCCTGAAATTCCTGATTTTCAGCCTAGTTTTGTGTACCTCCCCTGATTTTTCAGTGTTGAGATTTTTGGGACACTGATTTTTTCAGGCTTTACGTCATAGCTAACACTGATGTTTCAGACTTTTATCGAAGTGTACACTGAATGCACATTTTTTCACAGGGACCCTGATGCATCAACGTCCCTAAAAGTGAATCTGAGGGCCTGTTCTTCACATCATAGTTTGCATGCTTCATATCATATGCTACATACAGTACATCTACCCGTTCCACAGGCTCAGCTGCATCACATTCACATCAGAAACTTGTACTGGCCTGCCTTCTGTGTCGACTGGTAATCGGCTCAGCTGCATGGTACACGGCATGTGTCTGAGCGAGCAATCAGATGTCTTTGGGTTCACGTCCTCCTGCAATGCAGTCTGTGAGTGCATGACTTGGCAGTTCATACAGCTGCTGATCTCTGTCCACCTGTGTACATACGACCACACACATCCCTCACACACAAACATGCACATTGCACAGACAGACAGACACAGACACAGACACAGACACAGACACAGACACAGACACACACACACACACACACACACACACACACACACACACACACACACACACACACACACACACACGTGAATGGCAGAACAGGGGGGTATGGAAGGCGAAACTGGAACTGCAGGAGATAAATCTGGAGCGGTGGGTGATAAGTTGAAGGCATTGATTGAAGGTATTGATTGAAGGCATTGATTGAAGGTATTGATTGAAGGCATTGATTGACGGCATTGATTGAAGGCATTGATTGACGGCATTGATTGAAGGCATTGATTAAAGGCATTGATTGAAGGCATTGATTGACACTTGCGCCTGGCTTGAGGTGCAAGGGCGGCTCACCAGCTGCATCTGTTTTCTGAGATTTGAGAATTCTCAAAAAACAAGGCCGGCTCACCAGCTGCAGCAGTCGAAGGAAGTGTGCTGAGCCTCGTCGAAGAGTGGAGCTACAACCGATGATTAGTAGCTTTGCCTGAGGGCACGGGGACGGGCGTGAGGTGATTGAAATGGGGTGATGGGAGTGGGGTGATGGGAATGGGGTGATGGGCATGGGGTGATGGGCATGGGGTAATGGGAATGGGATGATGGGAATGGGGTGATGGGCACAGCAGCAGAACTAACGGGATGGAGGGATCAGCATGCAGGTAGTGTTGGAGGCTTGAAGAGTGATGGGATATAAGCAAACCCCGCAGTGCAAACCCCGCAGTGCAAACCCCGCAGTGCAAACCCCGCAGTGCAAACCCCGCAGTGCAAACCCGCAGTGCAAACCCCGCAGTGCAAACCCCGCAGTGCAAACCCCGCAGTGCAAACCCCGCAGTGCAAACCCCGCAGTGCAAACCCCGCAGTGCAAACCCCGCAGTGCAAACCCCGCAGTGCAAACCCCGCAGTGCAAACCCCGCAGTGCAAACCCCGCAGTGCAAACCCCGCAGTGCAAACCCCGCAGTGCAAACCCCGAAGTGCAAACCCCGCAGTGCAAACCCCGCAGTGCAAACCCCGCAGTGCAAACCCCGCAGTGCAAACCCCGCAGTGCAAACCCCGCAGTGCAAACCCCGCAGTGCAAACCCCGCAGTGCAAACCCCGCAGTGCAAACCCCGCAGTGCAAACCCCGCAGTGCAAACCCCGCAGTGCAAACCCCGCAGTGCAAACCCCGCAGTGCAAACCCCGCAGTGCAAACCCCGCAGTGAAAACCCCGCAGTGCAAACCCCGCAGTGAAAACCCCGCAGTGAAAACCCCGCAGTGCAAACCCCGCAGTGAAAACCCCGCAGTGCAAACCCCGCAGTGCAAACCCCGCAGTGCAAACCCCGCAGTGCAAACCCCGCAGTGAAAACCCCGCAGTGCAAACCCCGCAGTGAAAACCCCGCAGTGCAAACCCCGCAGTGAAAACCCCGCAGTGAAAACCCCGCAGTGAAAACCCCGCAGTGAAAACCCCGCAGTGCAAACCCCGCAGTGAAAACCCCGCAGTGCAAACCCCGCAGTGCAAACCCCGCAGTGCAAACCCCGCAGTGCAAACCCCGCAGTGCAAACCCCGCAGTGCAAACCCCGCAGTGCAAACCCCGCAGTGCAAACCCCGCAGTGCAGATTGACTTCCACACCAAACACCCCATACTCGCACGGCTCGCTCACCTTGGCTCATGTGATGGCACCGTTGCAGCGGCTTGCACCCGCCAGCACAGGCTCCAAATGGCCCTCTCTAAGGCACAGAAAACAAGTTTCGTGCCCTCTCAAAAGTGTTTTGAGACGTCTCAAAACACTTCTTCATATACACAGGCTCCAGATGGCCCACTCCAAGGCACAGAAAACAAGTCTCGTGCCCTCTGAAAACAAGTATCTTGTCCCCTGAGAAATCTCCTCACCTTAGCTCGTGTGATGGCGACGTTGCAGCGGCTTGCATCTGCCAGTACAGGCCCCAGCTGCCCGCGCCGGTTGCACCGCACCGTGCTGAACACCACACACGCCTTGTCCCGCCCTTGAAACCGATCCACTGTATCCACCTCCACTTCCCCACCCACTTGCCCACAAACGCCACCCTCCCTTCCCGCTGCCACACCCCCCTTTGCGTCCACTTTCCCACCCCCTCCGTTAACCCACGCCCCCTTGACGCCCTCTTCCCCCACACCCACACCGCCGCTCCCTCCTCCCCCTCCCCCTTGCCCCAGGACCCTTGCCAGAGCAGCTCTCTGTGCCTTGACTTGCGCGTTGTACACCGTGGCCACGCCAATGTCACGCGCAGGCAGCCCTGCTGCTATTAGGGAGGCCACTATCCGCGCTACGATCGCTGCCTCGCCCTCGTTGCACGTTGACTCCTTCTCCCGGGTTTCTTGGATTCCTTCCACCTCGGCTGATGAGGGGAAGAGGGGGAACAAGAAAAGCCGGAAGGTAGGAAAGTGGGAAGTGAGAAAGAGAGCGAGAGATAGAGGGCTGTTGGCGAGAGAAGTGAGGGTAAGAGCAGCTCTCTGTGCCTTGACTTGTGCCTTGTACACCGTGGCCACGCCAATGTCACACGCAGGCAGCGCTGCCGGTACCAGGGAGGCCACTATCCACGCCAATATCGCTGCCTCGCCCTCGTTGCATGTCGACTCCTTCTCCCGTGTTTCCTGCGTGCCCTCCACCTTGGCTGGGGAGCGAACAACAGGAAAGCGGGAAGGGGGGGAAGAGGGGAAAAGAGGGAAGAGGGGAAAAGATGGGGAGAGAGGGGGAGAGATAGAGGACTGTAGGTGGACTTCCTAAAGCTGCTCGCAGAAACGGCTGCAAGGCGGTTTTACAACGCCGAGCCAACCTCCTATCAAGCTGCCAAACTCTTACACCAATACCGGCAGCGGTGGTCGGTGGCTCTTCAAAGGGGGCAGTCGATTGGCTATCTAGAAAAGTGCAGCATAGCGGCTGCAGTAGAAAACCCGCTGCTAGGAACAGTGGGTGAGGCCCCGTCCCTAGGGGACTGCCTCTCGGTCCTTGATCCCGCACTGGACCTTGCTTAGGGGGGGAGGGGTACAGCCGAAGGGTGAGTAAGTAAGAGGAATATCCAGTAGACCCACGTGCGTAATGCACTCACCTTGAATGTCTGTATGCTTTGTGACAATCAATGAAAGGGCCATTAGAGAAAGAGGGGGGGAAGGGGAAAGAGGGAGAGGGAGGGAAGAAAGCGAGAACAAGAGAGGGAGGACCACAGGAGAGACGGATTGAAAATAATCGATGGGGAGATACATTCATGGCTAATCGTGAGTGTGAGTATGCGTAAACTGTAACCATCCTGTGAGTGCACCTATGCAGCACCTCAGAGTCTGCCGCTGCTTACCTGTGTCAAGGAAGAGCAGCCGTTTCTCCGGATCAATCACCTGCCACAGGCAGAAATAAGTCACCGGAGATGCAGAGAGCTCATGAGACAGCGTTATATACAGGAAGGACTTTTGAGGCGCCGCAAGGGAGATAATGACCCATAGCACATAGGAAGGAACAAGGCAGTGTGATCGCTCCACATTATCAGTCAGCAGCCACTGGGTGTGGGAGAGGGACATCCGACCCGCCCACCCTCCCTCACCCTCCACCCTCAAACCCAATTTCCCTTTCCCCTCTCTCCAATGCCTCCTACCGCAAACACAGTGGTACAGTGGCCTCAAGCTCGTCTCACCTGCTGCAGCCACAGCGGCAGACCCCCCTTCCCCATGCCCAGGAGCGAGTCCAGCTTCGGCAGGACCAGCCGGGCGTTGCTGACAGCCTCGGACCCGCACTGCAGGCGCCCCTCATACACGAGCGCGTTAGCGAGGGCCATGACGGGGCGGCACATGCGGTACTGCGTGCTCAGATGCGCCACTGCCTCTGGATGCGCCTCCGCCAGCCTCTGCAGCAGACTCACCCCCAGCCCCTGCTGCCGTGCCCTGGGGTCCTGTTGAGGGGAGGAGGGGGAAGAGGGGAGAGAGGGAGGCGGGAAGGAGGGAGGGAGGGGAGGAGGAGGAAAGGAGCAAGAGAGGGAGCTTGTCACACCAGAATTGCCAAGAAATGCACTTCTCTCGCCCTTCCAGTAGGCTGGTGCGTTCGCGAGGGCGGTGACGGGGTGGCAGTACTGCGTGCTCAGATGCATGCACCTCCGCGAACCTCTGCAGTAGACTCAGATGTTGCACTGCCCAGCTTCTGCTGCTGCGCCCTGGGGTGCTGTTCGGGGGGGAGGGGGGGGTAGGATGGTGGAGGTGAGGGGAAAGACAGGGGGAGAGAAAACAGGGGGGAAAGAGGGAGAGAAGACAGGGAGAGAGGGAAGAGTGGGGACGGAAGAAGAGGAGGGAGGGCCGAGACGGTGCTTGTTTTATCTTCCTCCGAAATGCACTTTACTCGCATCCCACCACATTTCGTCGCATCATACCGAATTACAATTGAGCGGGCGAGTGCGTGAGTGAGGGTTGAGGGTGGGAGGTGCAAGGGTGTGTGTGTGTGCGTGTACCCGAACAAGCGGAGGCAGCTGGTGCAGATCTCCCAGCAGCACAAAGGTCAACTTTTGGGGCGCCTCAAAAGCCGTACATATAATTTAGTGTGCGAGTGGGTGAGTGAGGATCGATGTTGAAAGGAGCAAGGGTGTGTGTGTGTGTGTGTGTGTGTGTGTGTGTGTGTGTGTGTGTGTGTGTGTGTGTGTGTGTGTGTGTGTGTGTGCGTGTGTGTGTACCCGAACAAGAGGAGGCAGCTGGTGCAGATCTCCCAGCAGCACGAAGGTTGACGCCAGGCGTAACGGGCCGAGGGCCTCCTGTGATCACATGCCGTGACACGACATGAGAGATGTTATGAGAAATAGCATGGAAAATCGCGCGACATGACATTGCATGAAATAGCATGAGACGTGGCATGGGAGTGCACAAAAGGAACAAATCACACACTCCCCACACCCTCCCTACCTACCCACTCCCCTGCACACTCCCCAAACTCTTCGCACCCACACCCCACCAGTCCCCTCACGCCTCCCAAGCAGCCGCTCACCGGCAGGGTGGTCTGCCCTGCTTCGTCCAGTATAGCCACGTCGAAGCGCTTGCGGGCAAAGAGCGACTGCCCCACGCCCAGGCACGTGCACCCCGCCACTGATGCGCCCAGGCCTACTGCCTCCATGCCCGCTACACTGCCCACGTCCATGCCCCCCCCTGGGGACGAGTGTAAGAAAGGGGAGAAACGACAAGGGAAGAGGGAAGAGCGATGGGGACGAGGGGAGAGGGAACGAAACAAGGGACGAGGGGCCAGTAGTGTATGGCAGGAGCAGGTACGGGTACACTACGAATTCTCAAATGTGACTCCATGATAACACACATACAGATCCCTCAGGTTTTGAGAATTCTCAAAAGGCCCTCTTCTTGCGCACCTCTGCCGTTGAGAGTGTAAGGCACCTCTGCCGTTGAGAGTGTAAGGCACCTCTGCCGTTGAGAGTGTAAGGCACCTCTGCCATTAAGGCAGCAGGTCCGGAGGATGCACAGCTGCCTGCCTCCCCACTCCAAGTGATGTTTTAGTCGATTCAAAAATCATATACAAATCCCTCTTCTTCTGAGAATTCTCAATGCGCCCTCCCTCTCACCTTTATCATTGAGAGTGTAGAGCAGCAGGTCCGGGTGCACAGCTGCAGGCCTTTGAGGCGTCCTAAAACTCGAATTCCGTCATGTGCACATTGCCCTCCCTCCCTCTCACCTCTATCATTGAGAGTGTATGGCAGAAGGTCCGGGTGCACAGCTGCAGGCCTCCCCACTCGCAGCACCGACACTCCCTGCAATAAGATGAATCACAGGGGTTCAGGAGGGAGAGTATGATAACGGGTTTACAGGGGTTCAGGAGGGAGAATATGACAACGAATTTACAGTCATTCTTGTTCGGCAGAATGTGGTGAATAGTCTGAGTGTTGGTGTGAGCTGATCTTCACTTTCCCGACTCTTCTTCAGGCACCTCTTAATCAAATCACCCCGCCTTTTTCATTAGCTTCACTTTGAGCAGAATGTGGTCGACAGCCGTGTTGGTGTGAGCAGCTCTTTCATTGCTTCCTTTTCAGGCGCCTCAGTAGTCTCTCCATCCATCCCATCCATCCACGCACCCACCTTTTTCATGAGCTTCAGCAGGATGTGGTCTACAGCCGTGTTGGTGTGAGCAGCCACCAGCACCGACCGCCCTCCCGCAGCTAACGCCTTCACCAGATGCACCACCGCCGTGCTCTTGCCCGCACCAGGTCCGCCTTGCACCACCAAATAGTCTTGTGCTGACATGGCCTGGGTAAGGATAGAAGTAAGGAGTGGAGAAGGAGAGGGCACAGGGGAGAACACGAAAGGGGTTTGTTTTCAACATCCTCAGGGCCGCCCTGCATCACCAGCTGATCTCATGCTGACTAAGCTTGGGCAGAGATACACGAGGAGAGGAAGAATTGAACTATACACATGGGAAAAGAGAGATACACGAGGTGCTCTAAGGGCCTGAAAGGGACTATGGTGTGCCAACATATAGCCCGAAGCCCACATGGCCTGGTAGGGAGATATACAAGTCGGGATAAAAGTAATAAGGGAACTGGGTGGGGCGGAGTTTGTTGGGGGCACGAGACAAAAGCAAGGAATGAATTGGGGTACGGTGTGGTGCAAACAAACCTGTTTGCAGTGCAGTACAGTGCAGTACGGTGCACTGAATTTACCTTGATGACTGCCTGCTTCTGATCGTCGTTGATCTCTCGGGGCGATAGGGAGGAGACATACGCCATGCTGTCCGGATGGATGTCTTCAGGAGGGGAGAACTGCGGGGGCTGCAGGCGGGTGGAGGGGTGGGGAGATGGAGGGATGGGGTAATGGGTGATAGGGAGGAGAGATACGCCACGCTGTCAGGATGTATGTCTTCAGGAGGGGAGAACTGCGGGGGCTGCAGGCGGATGGATGGGGGGGATGCGGGAATTGGGGATAGGGGAGATGGGTGTTTGGAGGATGGGAGGATCGAGGGGAGAGAGGGGCATGGAGGGGGAGGGCCCTCCCCCCTCTCTCCCCCCCCCACACACACTCACACACTACACATTCACACACGCACACTCGTACCCGCGCGACAAATCAGCACCCTTTTTCTCCCTTCTCCCACCTCCAGATGCACCACCAGGCATTCTCAAGCGAGGGGAGGAACAGCCCAACAAGGTTGAACCTCAGCTGCCCGCCTCCCCCTCCCGCCATCTCAACCTTGTCCACGCGCCACCTCTCATGGCGGCATGCATGAGCATGCACGCACGCACACACCCACACCTATACACACATGCACATGTGCACAAATGTGAACACGCGACAAACCAGCCTCTCCTCCCTTTTTCCCACCCGCCTCCCCTCCTGCCCACCTCCAGATGCACCACCAGCCGTCTCCGGCGGTCATTCTCAAGCGAGGGGAGGAACAGCCCAACAAGGTTGAACCTCAGCTGCCCGCCTCCCGCTCCCGCCATCTCATCCTTGTCCACGCGCCACCTCTCACTCCACACCCGCCTCTCCTCTCCCTCGGCCCCTGCTGCTCCGCTTCGACTGGGCAGCCGTAACTGGCGGTGAGCTCTCATCTGGATAGGATGGACGCGCACGGATGAGGGAGTGAAGAATAAGGGGGTCAGGGGCTTGGATGGAATAAGGAAGTTTTTGTGTACGACCCTTCCACCTCTCACTCACCAATCTCCCACAGACAAGCAACAAGCAACGAGCAAGCAGGCAGGCAGGCAGGGACTCACGGTGATGTTATGGGGTGTGACAGCAGTGATGGTGGCCGTGGCCACTCCAGCCTGCCCTGATACGGTGCTCAAGATCTGAAAGGACACAAGGAAAGAAGGGCGTGCAAGGGTGTGCAAGGGTAAGGCAGAAATGAACAGGCACGCACACACAAGAGCAGTCATGCGTTCTTGTCTTACGTTCTTGTCTTTAGAACTCGCCAACGAGGAATAAAAGGTGGCAATATTCAGATGTCAGAATGAGATCGTAGGGATGTCAAGCAAGAAACAGCAGCTTGCTCTCTCACCACATAGTCTCCAGCAGCAAAGCCTGTCTGGTCCAACCTTCCACTCCCACTCTGACTCCCCCCACCACCACCACCAGCAGCACCACCACCACCACCACTGCTGCTGCAGTTCTGTATGCTCCAGGCTCGCTTGAACGTATACTCCCACTGGTCCCTCGACTGCCCTATCCGCCCATCCGCCAACACAGCAGCTGCCGCCGTGCCCACTATTTGAGTACACCCACCCCCTCCTGCCGTCCCCACCCCTGCTCCCGCTCCTCCTGCTCCTGCTCCTGCTCCACCTTCTCTTGCATCTGCTGCTGCTTCTAGCACTCCTTCAGGTGGTTTGATTGAGGCGAGCTGCAGGGGACCAATGCAGCGCCCGGTGGCCTCTCGCTCCTCTGTGGGCATGGCCCAGATGTCAGCATGAGAGGCCTGCGGCAGGGAGGGACGAGGGATGAGAATGGAGCAGGCATGCACAAGAGGAAGCAGGGGAAAGGACGGTTGTTGAGGTTGGGGCGACTCAAGAACAGGCTGATGCAGCGTCCGGTGGCCTCTCTCTCCTCTGTGGGCATGGCCCAGATGTCAGCATGAGAGGCCTGCAAGCAGTGACGAGAATGGAGAAGGCATGGACGGGAGGGAGGCGGGGCGGAGGCGACTCAATAACAGGCTGATGCAGCAATCAGTGGCCTCTCTCTCCTCTGTGGGCATGGCCCAGATGTCAGCATGCGAGGCCTGCAAGTAGTGACGAGAATGGAGAAGGCCTGGACGGGAGGGAGGCGGGGCGGAGGCGACTCAAGAACAGGCTGATGCAGCAATCAGTGGCCTCTCTCTCCTCTGTGGGCATGGCCCAGATGTCAGCATGGGAGACCTGCAGGTAGGGGCGAGAATGGAGTGAGCATGACGGGTGGGAGGCAGGGAGGCAGGGAGTGAAGAGCAAAAGGGAGAGAGAAGAGTTCAACCTCTGCCCCACTCGGTGCCACAGCTGTCCTATCGCTCCCAGTGGGTCAGAAGCAGCGGTCCTGCCTTTGAAGCAGATCTAAACCCAAAACTCAAACCTTAAACCCTAGTTCCCATACACTATACTCTACACCCTGATCTTTAAATTCTATAGTGTAAACCTTGGGCAGGTCAGGATGCCCTCCACTGCTCGTCCCGCCTCTTTTGAGACGTCACGGAACGGAATTCGTTTTCCTACTCACAACTGCACTGTTCGTCTCCATATCCACCAGTCGCTCCCAGTGACTCAAGTCTCTTTTGCACAGTGCATGAGGCTCCACTGCTACCTCTGCCTCTTTTGAGACGTCCCAGAAACAGTTCCCTACTTACAACTGCACTGTTCGTCTCCATATCCACCAGTCGCTCCCAGTGACTCAAAAACTGCGCATCCTTCTCGCCCCACTCCTCGCCCCGCTCCTCGCCCCACCCTTCGACCCACTCCTCGCCCCACTCCTTGCACTGCCCGTTTTCCTACTTACAACTGCACTGTTCGTCTCCATATCCACCAGTCGCTCCCAGTGACTCAAGAACTGCGCATCCTTCACGTCCCACTCCTCGCCCCGCCTCTTTGCCACCTCCTCTGCAAACGCTGAAGGGTCAGAGGCAGGGTATGTGTGGTCCTGAAGCTGTTGTGGGGGCAAGGGGAGGGGGGAGAAGAGGAGGAAAGGGAACGTGCCGAGGGTAGGACAAAAAGTAAGAGCCCTTTGGAGACATGCATGCATTCGAAGGGGCACATTGCAACAGTTATTGAGTAGTAAGTGCAGTAAGCCACAGCAGGTGCAGCCGTTACCTTGAAGTATGACGAGCACACGTCGAATTGGCTGCAGTTGTTGCACTGGTTCACACTCTGCCATGTTCACAGTGAAGAAAAACACGGTTTCCAAAGACAGAGGAGAAGACACAAAGAAAACACAAGGGACGGGGGGAAAGGGGGGTGTGTGGGGCGGGGGGAGAAACGCAAACAAACAGCATGAGAAGGAATAAAAGTACACATGATTTGAGTGATACATGGATCAGCCTCACACATGAACGGTACACCAGCCATGACCCTAACCCAATCATACATGACCTCTTCCCCAGTGCCTACCTCGAGGACAGGTGGCAGCTCCTGATACGCCGAAACTCTTTTCAAGTCGTTGGCCAGGATGTTCCGCCGGATGATCAAGCCCACCAGCTCCCTGCGACTCACTTGAATGCCCTGTGGGGCATTAAGGGAAAAGAGGTATGGGGGAAGAGGTAAGGGCCACGGTGCATGCAGCTTGGGGTATGAGGTATGGATTAAGGGTCATGAGGTTTGGTGCATAGAATATGGTGCATGCATGGGGCATGGGGCGTTTGGGATGCGGTACGTAGCATGGGGAGTGGTGTATGAGAATGGGACATGGGCACGGGGCATGGGCAGGGGGTATGGGCACGGGGCATGGGCAGGGGGTATGGGCATGGGGCATGAGCATGGGGCATGCGCATGGGGCATGGGCATGGGTCATGCGCATGGCATGGGGTATGGGGCATGTTGTGCTGAGATGTACCACATGCTCCATGGTGCTGAGTTCTTCAGGCTGAGCAGCACCAGCCCTGGAATCACCCCTGCTGGCATGCTCTCGATGCCTCTCACATTCACCTACTTACCCCACCCCACCACACCACATCACACCACGCCACATTCCACCACATTCCACCACATTCCACCCCAATGCACCGCGCCACACCCCTGCCACTCACGGTGGTGGTGCTGTTGTGCAGGTTGAGCAGCAGCCCTGTACTCACGCCCTGCTGGTACCGCTCTGCCATGAGCAGGCAGTAAAGCATCACCTGCGCCCTGTGCTCTATGGCCGCCTGGGAGGGAGCGGGAGGAGGGTGTGTTTGTGTGGCAACAGTAAGGACAAGGGCAAGGGCAAGGGATGCGCCCAGGTTGGCTGGTAGCGCTCGCTCTGCCATGAGCAGGCAGTACAGCATCACCTGCGCCCTTTGCTCCATGGCTGCCTGGAGGGAGAGAGGGAGGCAAAGGGTAGAGAGCGGGAAGGGAGGCTTTTGTGGGGTGAAAGCAAGGACAAGGGCAAGGGGATGGCTGGTACCGCTCTGCCATGAGCAGGCAGTACAGCAGCACCTGCGCCCTGTGCTCTATGGCCGCCTGGAGGGGGCAGTTTAAGAGAGGCAGGCGGGGGTGAAGAGGGGGGGGAGGCGTTTACGTGGTAACAGTAAGGGCAAGGGCAAGGGATGCGCCCAGGTTGGCTGGTAGCGCTCGCTCTGCCATGAGCAGGCAGTACAGCATCACCTGCGCCCTTTGCTCCATGGCTGCCAAACGAAGAAGAAGAAGAAGAAAAAAAAGCCCCCCACCATGTCCATAAGAAAGCATACCTGGTTGGTTTTTGAGTCGACTCAAAAACAAGCCCCCCACTATGTCCATAAGAAAGCATACCTGGTTGGAGCTACTCCTCCCAGTCTTCACCTCCAGAGGCATCATCACCATCTCCTCCCCCTCCGCATCCCCTCCCTTCCCACTCCCGCCACTCGCTTTCCCCTTCCACCTCCCCGCTCCTGCCCGCGCTCCCTGCTGGCCCCCCATCCTTCCCCCCACACCCGCCACTTCCTTTCCCTTGTTGCGCACTGCCACACGCACTGACACGTCCAGACGCCCTTTGAGGCCCAGCCTCGGGCTCCACACGGTCTCCTCTATGTCCACCACCTGGACAGATGCAAATGCGAGAGAGGAGCAGACACGGACGGGGGAGTGCTTGAGTAAGCCACGCTTGTGCGCACAAAGAGACACGTCCAGCCGCCCTTTGAGGCCCAGTCTAGGGCTCACAGTCTCCTCTATGTCCTAGAGGAGACTGTGTGCTGCTGCGTGTCTTACCACACCCCCCACGCTGTGTCCACCTCCTGGGAACACACAGGCCGTGGATAGCACACAGCGTGTGGGGGTGTCTTGGTAAGACACGCAGCAGCAGCAGCGCCTTCCAACATCCCGCACTAGCGCCTTCCTCTCTCACTCACATGCACCGTACCGTACCGCTCTCGACATTCAACACTCAACACTCAGCAGCACAAGCAGTGGTACCTTGGCCAGTCGCATGTGCCGCTGCTCGCCTCTATTGCCAAATGGTACAGCCGCCAGGGCGCTAGACTGACATCGGAGGGCGGGGTGGGGTTGTGGGAGTTGGGGAAGGGTGGAGTGGGAGGGGGTTGAGCTTCGTGGGGGGGAGGAGGTGTAGGGGTTGAAGGGGGGAGGAAGAGCAGAAGAGAAGGGGATGGGTTAACTAAACAGTGACTCACAATGAGAACGAGAATGCTGAAAGGACAACGAGATAGAAGAAAGCGTGAAAGAGTGAGTGCACAAGTGAGTGAGGGAATGAGTGAGTGAGTGAGGAGGAGAGTGTGTGGTGGTACCTTGGGGTAGAGGAACTGGTGCACCCAGGAGAGCACAGTGGGAACCGCCTCCTGCAGCTGCTGCAATGCCCACGCTTCGTCCTCTGCTCGCGCATACAATGGGACATGAAGTGAAAGACAAGGAAACAAGACAGCACGATCTGATCTGAAAGGGCGCCTCATCATCAGACGCCAGAGTTTCGTGTTGGGACAACCAGTGACATAAAGAGACATAGAGAGTCAAAAACATTGGCGCCAATTCAAGCTATTTAGCAACCTCCGAGTCCCCAGCCCATTACCTCACTCAACAAACATTCACGCCTACACATGCACGTGTCACGTCATAACTTCACACACACCTGACCTGCCCGACCTACCTGCTCCATCCCAACTCACTCGCAAGTGCAAAAAGCGTGTCTGTGTGCGACTGGCTGATGGCTACTGCTGCCTCCTCCAGGTGCTGTGCTGCTAGTGATGCTCCTGCCTCGTGCTGCAGTGCCACCTGGTGGGGGTCAAGGTGAGGTGAGAGGAGTGAGGGTTTGAGTCATTGTGAATCGACCCGACACACGATACAAGATGCACGAATGGCTGCTGCTGATGGCTATTGCTGCCTCCTCCAGGTGCTGTGCTGATAATGACGCACCTGCCTTGTGCTGCAGTGCCACCTGGTGGGGGTCAAGGTGGACGTGAGGCGAATGTCGGCACGAGAGTAAGAGTAGGTTTGAGTTGATATATTGTGAATAGACATGAGACGGCACGAGAGTAAGAGTAGGTTCGAGTTGAGATATTGTGAATAGACATGAGACATGGGATAGATGCGTTCCTGCAGCTGCTCCTGCTCATCAGTATCCTGCAATGGATTCCGTGGGATGACATCGTGCCTCCACCAGCTGAGGCAGCATTGTGCCTCGCAGGGCCAGCGCAGTGACGTCTTTTGAGACGTCTCAACAGGCATTCCCTGCTGCTGCTGCTGTTCCTGCTCAGTAGTACCCTACCCTGTTCATCAATTCCCTGCCACCGCCTTGCTCTTACCTGCACCAGCTGATGCAGCATTGTCCCTCGCAGGGCTGGCGCAGTGACGTCCCTCTGCCGCACTCTCTCCTCCAGCACCGCCCTCCGCCCACACGCAAAGCTGCCCCCCACCTGAGATGGGGTTGGTTGGGAGTATGGGGAAAGTGGGTGGAATGAGGTTAGTCTAGAGCATGGGGACAAACGGAGTGTGAGGGCTTTTGAGGCACCTCAAAGGTCGGGCTAACGCAGTGACGTCCCTCTGCCTGGCTCTCTCCTCCAGCACCGCCCTTCGCCCACACGCAAAGCTGCCCCCCCACCTGACAGGCATGGTTAGGGTTGAGGTTGGTTGAGAGCGTGGGGAAAGATGGAGTGGGGGGGATGGCTGTGAACAGCCGAGGGGTGCAACACAAGAAGAAAGAGAGGGGGGTGGGGGGGAAGGGGGGGGGGCGGAGGAGAGAGATAGTACGGAGCCTGCACGCACACGCACGCACGCGCGCGCGCGCGCACACACACACACACACGCACACACACACATGCACCCACGGTGACTGTAAGGGATGCTTCTTACCCGAGAGCCAGAGATAAGGACATCTGGATGCAGGATGAGCATGCCGTTGTTAACGTCCACAATCACCGCCCTCTCCTCTTCCCCTTCCTCTGCTGCTGCCCCTGCTCCTGCTGCCTGCTCTTTAGTCTGGGGTTGCCCGCCGATGAGCGCCACAGTGTCACCGGCTGACACAGGCACGTCTAGCCTGCAGGCAGGGGAAAATGGTAAGGTAATCTCAGTGCAAAAAAAAGCGATACTGCTTGTGCTGATGAATTTTTTAGCAGGGCGGGCGTGAACTAGAGGAGGGAGGGAAGAGAGAGGAAGGGAAAGAGAGGAAAGCGGAGAGAGGGTGGAGAAGAGCTGTGAGAGAGGACAGAGGGTAGAACGAGGGCATACCAGTCGTCACGGAGAAGCACTTGCACAGGGCGGTGGGGTTGGGCGCGCATGCGAACACGCAGCACCTGAGACGGATGGAGAGAAGAGGGCGTTGGACGTGGCAAGAACATGGCATTGAGGTTGGAAGGTCGGTGCAAGGCGTGGAGTGAGGCGGGTGTGGAGAAATGGAGGAAAATACTTCGGAGTCGACGCAAGAAAGCATAAGGGACAGCGACGACATGGCAGTGAGAGAGTGGTGCAAGGCGTGGAATGGGGTGGGGGTGGAGGAATGGAAGAGAAGACATTGCCTAATCCCTCATCACTCTCCTTGGCTCCAATAGTTTGCACACAAGAAGGCGCACATTACAAAATCTCACGATCAGCTTCACTGCTGTTGTAGCTTCTGAGGATTCTCATAAGCGCTTCCAATGCTGCTGTACCTTTTGATGCTGCACTGTCGCGATGCCACGCGCGTTGACAGCACTGAACGTCGCCTCCCATGCCTGGAATGCGGATGCATGGTGGGGTGGATGGGGGGTAGACATGGAGGGGGGAACGTAAATGAATGGAGAGTGCGCGCTGTAAAGCAAAGAGCATGTCCATTCATGGCTGCTGCCCTTTTCACACCCCGTTCCTTTTCCCCAAGGCACACCACAACATGCTCATACGGTCATACCTCCAGAACTAGTGCATGCTCCATTGTAGCAGCAGTACACTGAAGCTGCTTCTCCTCCTCCCCTTCCCTCTTCACCTCCCTTCGCTCCCACTCCTCCTCATCAACCCCCAACTCCTCCCCCCTCTCCCTCACCCTGTCTCTACAACCACGGCCCTCCTCGTGTGCATCACTACCCTGTGCTTCCTTGCTTGTTCTGCCACCCTGCTGTTGTTGCTCCTCCTCCACCGCCATGGCATTTATTTCAGAAAGGAACTCTTCCATCTCCTGCTGCTGCTGCTGCTGCTGCTGCTGGAGCTGCTGCTGCTGCTGAAGATGCTGCCGCCTCTGCTGCTCCTCGTACTGCTGCTTCTGCTGCTCCTCCTCCTCATGCTGTCTTTGTTGCTGCTGCTCCTCATTCTGCCGCAACTGCTGCTGCTCCATATTTTCCCTCATGCCCTCTCCAGCCATTCCTTCGCCACAACCCCTCACAACGTTAGCACAACAACCCTCCAAACCGGAAACCTCCTCCTTCAACCCCAGCCCATCACCGCCTTTCCCACTCCTCTCCCCACAGTTCCTCTGCGAATCCACTTCTTCCACCCCCTCTACCTCATCTCCTTCCACTTCTTCCCCCAGCAACACTCTTTTCATGCCTCCCTCTCCCATGTCCATCCCATCCATCCCTCCCATCTCTAGCGAATCTTCCTCTTCTTCCACCCCTCCATTCACCATCCCCATCGCCCATGCGCAAGCCTCCGCCTCAGCACCTAGCATGCCAATCCCCTGCTTCTGCTGCTCCTCTTGATCCCTGGAAAGGCCCAGAGAGCTCTGGTGTGGCGGGCAGGCTTTGAATGAATCTAGATCAACAACAGCAGCAGCAGCAGAAGCGCCAGTAGCAGCACCACCAGCTGCAGCAGCAGCATCAGTAGGAGCAGCAGGCAGTGCCACATCGTGGTTGGGTGACAGTACATGAAGAGCCTGTCTTGCATCTACTGCCCCACAATCTTTACCCTTCCCAGTAACGCATGCCTTGGCAGGGAAAGTCACATCGGTAGCGGTTTTCACTGTGCCTTTGACGATGGTGGCTTCAAGCTCGTCCAGGATCTTCAGCACCCCCTGCAGTGGACAGTACAGCATTATTTGGTGCTCACATACACAGATACATGCACTACCACACACACACACATGAGTACATGCACAACCACAATCTCGGGAGCAAGCACAAGTACATGTCAAGCTGCATTTTTTAGGTTCTGCGGGAACAATAACCGCCGACCACCCACCACTCACAATCTATTCCCTCTCACCTTGTGTCGTTTCGCGCTCATTCTTCGGCTGCGACCCACAAGGGGCTTCTCCATAGCAGAAGCACCAGCAGGAACAGCAGCAGGAGCAGCAGCGATAGTCACGCCAAGCGCAGCAGGTCCCTTGGGCTCGTCGCCGACCACCTTCTCCTTGCCATCATTTGCGTCAGTAAATCTGTGACTGCGTCTGTTGTGATTGTAGCCGTTGTGACTAACGCGAGCACGACCAGAAGCATCCGTTTCAGTGATTTCGCGTGCGCCCTGTTCTTCCTGGCGCTTCTCCTTCCGCTTACTGCCAGTCGAGCTGCAAGCTAGCAGGCTACATAAGGGAAGAGCAGCAGGTGGACTACCGTCCCCCCCCTCGTTCCCCTCTATCTGGTCTCGATTTGCCTTTACCTGCTTATCGCTCTCCTTTCTGCTCTCTGCATTCCCCTCCGCCCTCGCCACAGGGGCTTCGCAGCTACCGTCTTCGCCAGGCCTTGTCTTTACCTTATCCAGGGCGGCCGCTGACTCAGCATGCAAGCATGCTGACTCAGCCTGCACAGCTTCCCCCATCTCGTCCAGCTCACCCGCGCGCCGTCGTTTTTTGGATTGCGTTTCGCCCTTCAGTTTTGGCTCATCGGGTTTTACACACAAACCATCACCACTGATAACCAGCGGCTTCACGCCATCGTCAAATTCGTCCTTATCGCCACTGTCTTCGGCTGTTGTGAGATCGCAGGGAACTGTAGAGGGCATAGCTGTGTGCCCGCCATTGGCAACGGGAGATGCAGCGGATCGACTGGCTGCTGCTACACCTGCTCCTGCCAATGCTCCTGCTGTTGCTCTTGCCGTTGCTCTTGCTGCTCTTGCCGTCGCTCCTACTGCTCCTGCTGCTTCTCTCTCTTCGGTCGCCCTTACCAGCGGCACTTCCTTCCCTGCTGTTTCCTTCCCCGCCGTTCCCTTCCCTGTTGTCTCTTTCCCCAACGATTCCTTCCCTGCCGTTTTCTTCCCCGTGGATACTTTCCCTGTAACTTTCCTCCCCCGACTTTGCGTCTCCAACGTTTCCTTCCCCGCCGCTTCCTTCCCCGCAACCACTGCGCGCGCTGTTCCTGCGCCACCTCCGCCAGCTCCATTGCTCCCCGCGCCGGCGGTAGTGTCATCAGCCGCCGTCGCTCCACGCGCGGAAACCGCACGCGTATTTTTAGTCGACTCAAACCGCACTGCTCCTGAGTCACCTCCGCTAGCGCCATTTCTCCGCGCGCCGTCAGCACTGTCATCAACCGCCGTCGCTCCACGCGCGGAAATCGCACGGGTGGTGTCAACGCTGGCGTCATTCGCTTCACGTGCAGCGGCCCACTTACCGAAAAAGTGCTTTATGCCGAAGTTCGAAACGGCGGGAGGGGCGCTTCCTTTCTTCGCGGAGGCCTTTTTGGGTCCCTGCGCGATTCCCCGGAAGGAAGCAAAACGGAAATCGGGGAATGAGAGAATTGGAGAATTGAAGAACCAGAGAATGGTTCAGCAATGCGGAGGCAGAAGGACTCGGAAAGTTTTATTTTTTTGCCATGCCGTAGCTGGGACCTTCGAAAACAGCAGCATCGCCAAACGCTGATGCCGCAACGAGAAACGCGGAAACATGTATGCTGAAAAGGGAACTGACGCACGTAGCGCGATCCGGTCGGACGCACTAGTAGTGCAAACCAGATAGGAGGGTTTCTAGCCAAACCAGGAGTTGACTCTGTAGAGTGGCTTCTCACCTTCCCGCGCATTGTTGCTGCGGACTGAGACGGCACCACCATGCTATCGAGTTTCGGGTGTACTGATGCTTGACACAGATCCTTCGCTGAGGCACTTTCTGGGAAGAGAACGGAATCTGCGTTTCCTAATGCTGGCGGAAGGAGAATGCTTTTTAGAGCTTACAGTTTTAGCCTTGTTCCTACAATCATTTACCGCTTATGCAGCAACAACGAATCTCACATCGAGTTAAGCTCCGCCAGTTAATTCCGCAAGACCGAGCTGGATAAGTAAAGGTGGATACATGGCGGGCTACGAGGCAGTCGAGGTCGATGTCGCTTTGGCCTAAAACGCCGCCAGAACCTACGAAAGCTTTACACCTTCGAGGACTCTCAGAAAAACCAAACTCAGGGAACTTCCAGAGAACGGAGGTGATGCCATGATGAACCAGAGACCACAGGGAGATCTCGAGGCGCTGATCGTGGCGGAAGCGTCATTGTGGCTCTTCCGCACAAGGCAGAAGCCAGAGGCATGGGCTGACAAAATGAATATCACACTCGCTCATTACCCTACTCAGCACTTCTTCACCGCTCTTGAAAACGAGAAAACGCATGAAGCCGCATTCGAAAGAGCTTTTGGAGTCTGGCCTTGAGGGTACCCAACCCACTACCCAGCCGGGGTGTTCCTCTGCGCAGCTGCCCCGCACCGACTCCCGCCAATTCCCATCTGCCCACACTTGCTGCTCGAAGTTTGAAAAGTTCAAATCTCCAAGTCGCCATACGCCCCTATACGCTTTTCGGGACAAACTCAATAGTGATACCGGGGCCATTTTCTTACCATATAATTTGGTTTTATCTTGCATCTTTTACCAACCTCTACTTGATTTTAGAATCTTCCCAACATCAACAACCTCCTGATCTGTTACGATATGAAGTTTTGTGAGAAGGCATTCCTGTATGCTGCAGGAGCCGACTCTACCGAGTACGAAGTCGAAGAGTCAGAAGAATCGAAGCGACACAGCAACCGTCTGACCAAGACCAATGCAGGCAGAAACACTTGAAGTGAAAAGAGCGGGAACAGGTTTGAAACGGGTTCCCGCGCCGCACAGTTTGGATTTCTCGCTGCAATAAGGGAATGTACCCCTTAGAGTACATGGCTAGTCTAGGTCCTTTCGTATTCCCTTGTACTCTTATATAAACTCGATGTATGCATGCTTTTATCAACTCAGTCATTTACATTCACTCTGACCTGAGATTCAAGCTTCTCGCTGCAACACTACTCCGCGATCAGCCCTGAGCGATCCTACGCTAAGTCCCCCTTGGGATTGTAACATGGTATGAGAGCTACTCAGGGATTCTTCGCAACTTCACTTCCGTGAAATTCGCCGAACCCAGATCTGGCGAGCAGCACACGCTCCAAGACCAAGATGGCCGGTGGATCCGGAGGCCAAGCAAATCTGACGGCCGAAGGGCAAACCAATCCGGTTGCGACAAATGAGGCGACAACTACGATCGGCACTGCCGCACTCGAGCAGTTATTCCCTCGACTTTCAACTATGGAGAAAGAACTCCAAGAACTGCGCAAAGACGATGCGGGAACCTCTTCCCAACCAGCTCAACCGGCTACAAAAAGCCGTGATACCGCCGCGCACACCTTCTCCCTCGACACAGACAAATCAACAACGACAGCCCCCCGTCCAAGTAATGAATTCATTAACTCTGCGCAAGCACGCTTTCTCAGTCAAAAAATCAAGACTACTGCCGCATTCGACGGCAAGGATTTTTACACATGGAGTTTTGAGCTTGAGCTCCTCCTACAAATGGCGCAGATTTACCACTACTTCGACGGCTCCTACTCTAAACCGGTGGAAGACACCGACGACGCCAGGGCTCAGTACTACAGCGAGTCCCTCATGGCGTACAGTGTGCTGCTGCGAAACATGACGCCTGCGGAACAACCTAGCATCCGCTCCTACAAAGAGAGCACCGCTCCAGCCTTGGAAGCCTGGAAGCACCTCGTTGAGGTTTATCAGCCGAAGGACTCGGTCACCGCCAGCAGGCTCCTGCAGCAACTCATGGAGACAAAGATGGGGCACGGGGAGAAAGTGAATTCTTATATTTACCGCTGTCGCAACATCCGTGACCAGATCACGAAGCATGGGAGCGCAATTTCGGAAGAGATTTTTGTCAACACAGTCCTTCAAGGACTCGGGCCAGAGTGGAAGCCCTGTAAAGCGCTACTCCGACAGCGAGGGATTATCTCAGAAGCCGCGCTATGCGCCGCACTCCTGACTGAACAACAGGACATGGACTCGAGCAGAACAAGCTCCGCGCCGCGCCGAGAGCGCCTCGCCTTCTACGCAGACAACCGTGAAGAGCGACGACAACCAAGGCGCCATTATTGCAAAATATGCAAAGTCTTCGGACACTCAACGGATCGATGCAAATCCCAATCCAACTATCGCCACCCAAATTCCACTCACCACAACAACTGGGTCGGCCGACAAGACGCTCATCACTCTCAGCCTCAACATAAGACATCTCGTTCCCCTGCACAACACCAACATCAGCAAACTCAAGGACCTCAATCGGGAGCTCCTAGAAATATCATCGCAAATATGGCGACGCGCCGACGTCGCACTGCTGAACCTGACGAAGAAAACGAGATCCAAGGAAGACTCCTTGAGCCTGAAGAGGGTTGGAATAATCCCCTCACTGAAGACCACTATTACCTATACGACGAAGACGAGCAGAATTGGAATCAGCCAATCACACTGCGGGAGAGCCCGCCACATGACAATCAACACTACGTACCAGTGGGATGGAAGGAAAACGAAGACCCCTTCTTCCACAGGCGCTACAAGGCAACACTGGTGACTCCACGACTGGCGCTACTTTTGCGCAGAAACGACACCGACAATTACAACACCTGGTACCTGGACAGCTGCTGCGAGCAGCACATGGTGGGATCCGCGCGATACGTCTCAAACCTGAGCCGCGCTCCCGCAACTTACGTCGCCGTCGCCAACAACGAGCAACTACGCGCCAATGCGCAAGGCATCGTGGTCCTACAAGCACGAGACAGCAACACCCACATCTCATTCAATGACGTACTCTACGTCCCAAACCTTCGCTTCAACCTCCTCTCGGCACGACAACTTCGCGACTGCGGCGTCATCCTCACCACGGACCTCGCCACACGCGACCTCATTCTCACCTATGCTCCCCCTGACACACCGCCCGAGTCGTTCAAGTATCTCGGACGAGCCCGCTCAATCAGTGGGATCTACGTCCTAGACTTCGACGTACCTCCCTGCCAAGCATCATCCGACAAGCTCGTGGACCTCGTCCCTCTCGAATTTGCCTACATGGACAAGAAAGCATAGGAGCACCCAGACGGACGACCGTGGGTTCGCCGCAGCCCCCATCCCCGCGAGATTAACCTGCACAAGCCAGACATCAATGGTCTTTGCACCATCTGTCACACACCTACTGCAAGCCGCACAGAGCAAGTCAAAAAAGAGTACGCGGCAATTCAGGAGGCGGAGAGCGCCGAGACAGAACCCACTGGCATGGCCGAACAAGAACTCGCTGTGTCATCTTACCGCATCTTTGGCGAACCATCCAATGACCCCGGACGTCAGCAAGCAGAGCGAACATACTCCGACAACCTCCGATTCGTCCTAGAAGCTAACACCACCACCTTCGACGCAGAAGGACGACCGCGCCCATACACCCGCAAAGTCTACCGCCGCTGGATTGACCCGGCCTGGAAGGATCCTGACGCAGAAGGGGAGCTGAGCGTCAAGGAAGAAAAGGATAAGGCCCGGGCGGAAAAGAAACAAAAGCTGTATGAGGAGCGTATCGCGGCAGGATGGGACGAAGAATCAGCCCGACGAGGAGCATGGGGAGATGAGGATTTCGAACCGGAAGGTGGCGCAACCTGGGCATCCGCCACTGGAGCATGGGGAGCTAGCGCAAGCGGCACGGTCACCACGGGAGGATGGGGAACAATAGAGCCCGAAG